TAGTGTTAATGGCAAACTCTAAATTAAATTGATGTACATTTTCTGTACACTACTTTCTTGATGCTGTGCTAGCAGAAACTCAATAAATGTTCATTGTAATCATTCATTCAATTATTTATTTATATGTTCAATAAATGTTTACTAAATGACTAGTTAGTCAATTGAATTGTTTGTTAATTCAACAGTAGATTTGTTTTTTTTCAGTTTATCTAAATATGGGGTTTGTTTTGTCTTTTTCTCTCAACCTTTGTTGAAGTTTGTTTTTCTTAATTTGGGCAATTACTAATTATATGACTCTTGGATAAGTCACTTAACCTTCAGAAATCAATTTTCTGGTGTTTCAACAGGGAAGATAATAGTGACTACTTTCTGGGTTCTTGTAAGGATTGCATTTTTTTAAAATGCACGTTAACACATGCCTAACATATAGTTATAGGTCTGTAATAATAGATGTTAGCTATTCTTCTTCTTCTTTTTTTTTTTTTGGATGGAGTTTCTCTCATGTTGCCCAGGCTGGAGTTCAGAGGTACGATCTCAGCACACTGCAACCTCCACCTCCCAGGTTCAAGGGATTCTCCTGCCTCAGCCTCTTAAGTAACTGAGATTACAGGTGCCTGCTACCACGCTGGGCTAATTTTTGTATTTTTATAGACACGGGATTTCCCCATGTTGGCCAGGCTAGTCTTGAACTCCTGACCTCAGGTGATCTGTCCGCCTCAGCCTCCTAAAGTGCTGGGATTACAAGCATGAGCCACTGTACCTGGCCTCATTATTATTCTTAATAGAATGTATCAGGTACGGTCCTCACAGTAAACCTCTTGAGGTAGGCATTGCTTTCCCCCTATTTCAAAGAAATAAATTTAGAATCAGAGCATTTAAATAATTTGCCAGAGGACACAGAGCTAATAAATTGCTGATATGGGATATCCAATTCCGTAGCTTGACCCTTTTACCTACACCAAAAAGCTTTCGGCATCTTGTATGACACTTAGAAATGAACTAGGAGTCACTTTATAGTGACTAAAATTAGCTAACGTTCTCATTTGCCTTCTGAGAGGTAGGACATACCAAGGGAGTTCTGGCCTGTTGGAGAAACTCCAGTCCTGAAGGTTAGATTAATTAAGATTTTATCTTAAAACCACAGAATTCCAGCGTTTAGAAGGATTTTATGTAGCATTTACTCTATTCAATTACTGAATTCTCTCTCTATCCCTCTAGTCAAGGGGTCATCTGGTTTTTTCTTTAACCTTCCAATGGCAGAGAAGTCATCTTTCACCCTCTCCCACTCCCAGAGCAGCTCACTTCACTCTGACCATGAGATAGCCTTTCCTTACATCATACTGAACTCCTTCCCTCTGTCTGAAGTAAGTGGAACCCGTTTCCTAGGGCATCCGTTCAGATTCTTGCACTTTACTCTCTATCATAACCCCCAAACATTTTATCTTTACCAGGGTAGCTTCAGACCTTTAATTCCTAGCTACCCCTGAACAAACACAACTAGGGTTCACTTTTTTTCTTCTAAGTGTGATATAGTTGGCTATGTCATGAGCATTTTGCTTCTCCTCCAGTTTTTCTCTTAATACATGGTACCACCATCTACCCAGTTATTTAAGCTAGAAACCCAGGAGTTTGTTCCCTTTACCATTCGTATACTATTTGTCAGCAAGTATTTTCATTCTTTTTTAAAAAATTCATTCGGCTGGATGTGGTGGCTCACACCTGTAATCCCAGCACTTTGGGAGGCCGAGGTGGGCAGATCACCTGAGATCAGGAGTTTGAGACCAGCGTGGCTAACATGGCAAAACCCTGACTCTACTAAAAATATAAAATTTAGATAGGTATGATGGAGGGTGCCTGTAATCCCAGCTACTAAGGAGGCTGAGGCAGGAGAATCACTTGAACCCTGGAGGCAGAGGTTGCAGTGAGCCAAGATCACACCTCTGCACACCAGCTTGAGAAACAGCGCAAGACTTTGTCTCATAAAAAAATAAATAAAAATAGAATTCATTTGTCTTTTTATTTTTTTAATTGTAATTAAATTTTAAAAATTTTATTTAAAAAACAAAAACAAAAAACAAGTATCACCTCAAGTATTTTCTTTCTTATCCCCAAGTATAAAATCCTCTGCCCTACCATTACGCTAGTCCAGGCCACCATTCTCTCTCCCCCATTCCTAAGTCTTGCCTGCTCCCTACACTCGCTTCTCCACAGAGCAGCCAGACTTCTTTCTCTCTCTCTCTCTCTCTCTCTCGTATGTTTTTTTTTTTTTTGAGACAGAGTCTCACTCTGTTGCCCAGGCTATAGTGCAGTGGTGCAATCTTGGCTCACCACAACCTCCGCCTCCCGGGTTCAAGCGATTCTCTTGCCTCAGCCTCCCGAGTAGCTGGGATTACAGGCACACGCCACTGTGCCTGGCTAATTTTTGTATTTTTAGTAGAGACAGGATTTCACCATGTTGGCCAGACTGGTCTCGAACTCCTGACTTCATAATCTGCCCGCCTCAGCCGCTCAAAGTACTGGGATTGCAGGCGTGAGCCACTGTGCCTGGCTTGAATTATCTCTTTAAAGCACAAATCAGATTACACTATTTCCCTGATTAAAACTCTTCTTTGATCTCCCATTACCCTTTGAACAAAATTCAAAGTGTTTTCCATGGTCAACAATGTTCTGTCTCATCTCAACCGTTCTATTTTCCCTGTTGCTTACCCAGCCTTGGTCTCTGTTCTTTTTTATGTTCCTTGGACATGCCAAGCCTTTTCCTGCAGCCGAACCTTGTGTTTCTTATATCTGTTGCCTGCATTCTTTCCCTAGCTTTGCAAATGCCTGGCTCATTCTCATCCTTCAGATCTCAGCTGACATCTCACTTTCTCAGAGAGACCTGACCCCATCACTCCTCTAAGGCCCCGTGTTATCATTGTGTAATTACCTATCTGCATTGTAATCTCTCCTCACGAGAACATTAGTTCTTTGGTGACTGGACCTACCTTACATTAACAATTGTATCCTCTTTAAGTGTCACAGTAGCTGGCTCATAGGAGCTCAATAACTGAGAAATAAATGAATGGACTCATAATTGACTGAAAGGGTGTTGGAATCATATTAAAAATGAATTTGAGGTCAGGTGTGGTGGCTCATGCCTGTAATCCCAGCACTTTTTGGGAGTCCGAGGTGGGTGGATCACTTGAGGTCAGGAGTTAGAGACCAGCCTGGGCAACACAATAAAACCCTGTTTTCATTAAAAATACAAAAATTAGCTGGGTGTGGTGGCACCTGCCTGTAGTCCCAGCTACTCGGGAGGCTGAGGCAGGAGAATCCCTTGAACCTGGCAGGCGGAGGTTGCAGTGAGCTAAGATTGAGCCACTGTAGTCCAGCCTGGGAGACAGAGTGAGACTCCATCATCAAAAAAAAGGGAAATTTGAACCTGAGCTTTGCCATTTCTGTATGACTTTGGGCAAATTATGCTGTCTCACTGGGCTTTAGTTGGCTCATCTGTCTACCTCACAGAATGTTGTTCAGGTCAATTAAGATATTGGCTGTGAATGTACCCACCACCCTATCTGATACATATTAGCTATTCAGTCCACAACCAGTCAAAGCCTGGTACTTAATTCTGAACATGCATAGAAGAGTTCTGTCAAGTTTCAGCCTCATTAATAGAACCGTTTGTGTGTTGTGCCTGTGATCCATAAGATGCCTGTGACTTCCCTCAGGTAACACTTACCTGGCTAGGAAAACAGTTCTAACCCAGGGTGTTAGCTGTTGCACTGAGTGATACTCAGTCTGATTACCCAGAGGTGCCAAGCACAGAGTCTTCACTGCAGAGCTGAACACAGACCCTAAAATCTAAATGATAAAACCTAACATCGTGTGTCCCAGGCTGGTTGTCAAGATAGATGCTGTGTCTAGACAGTTATCTCCCTTGGGAAATCACAGTTGTTCTAAAAGGAGGCACGTGGTCTCCTGTTAAGAATACAAAACAGGCCTGTGAGCTGTTGAGGGTGAGGTTGCTGCTTGAGGTTGCATGGGCCTATGGAGCAGAGCCGGAGGAAAAGAAGCTGTCTGCTTCTATACTCACAGGAATCTCTGGATCATGGTGGTGGGCTTCTTCAATCATGTCGGGACAGCAGAGTCCATGGTGCATGGGAAGGTGGAAACATAGCTATCACCTTTCCCAGTGGCAGTGATTTTGTGCCTCCACTCAACAGTGTTGGGAGGAACTGAAAGGCAAGTCTGGAATATGCATTACCTGCTGGGGAGGGGAGCAGAAATCTCCCTGCAACTTGCGTGCTTGGTGTGATGATCTAGGTGGCTCCCTTCTGAATGCTGTTAGGATGAGTGTTTTAAGGTGAGGGCTCTAGAATTAGATAGTTCTGGCCCTGGGTTCAAATCCTGGAGATGCAGTGACCTTGATCAAGTTATTTAATGTCTTAGCCATAGTTTGCTGATTATTAGATGGAAGTAATAATGACTTGTATCTTATCTAGTTGCTGTGAGGATTAGATGATATAGTGCCTGCCAAAATATTAGCTTAGTGCCTGGCACATAGCCAGTGTTCAGTAAATGATCATTCTTTTTATTAGTCAGGATAGTTCAGGATTTTGAGTTTATTGTTTCTTTTTCTTTTTCTTTCTTTCTACCTTCTGTGAACAAAAGGTTTGGTACTTCTGATGAGCCTCACCTACACTGAACCTTCAGTCCTGCTTAGGGGAAGCTGCTAGCTGTGTGCCTTGGACAAGTTATGGAACCTTTCTGAGTCAATGTTCTCATCTGTTACATGCAGTTTACAGTTCCCATCTCACAGTGAGGATGAAATAAGGTCAGAGCGCCTGATAGGTAGTTAGTGCTCAAAACACTTATTTCCTCCCCTTTGGTTCTGGAGTATCTGAAATACGGTCCCTTTAAGCTTGTTAAGATTCCTCACTAGCCTTGTATGCAGCTGTGGGCAGAGAGCTTTGGCAGAAGGAAAGACTTTTTTTTTTTTTTTTTTAAATGACTGTTTCATAATCTGTTGGCTCAAATCTGCTGCTGCCACACCCTGTGCCTCTCAGGGTCCCTGGGTCCTGTTGCAGTTATCATATGCCTCACCTTTAACCTAAATGACCCTGGGAAGTGGCTGCTATTGAAGGATTTACTGAATGCAAAATGGATTTTCTTCCTTGCTCTTTGGGGTAAAGCTGGCTCAGAGATTCTTAGCTGCAGGGGGAGGGGCTGGCAGGCCTGAACTGCAGTTGGACTTAGCGGCCAGGGGTTTTCTGGTTTTCATTAAAATTCTCTGGCTGTCTTTCGGGATAGCTCCATTGGATATGACTGTGCACTGGAGCCGGTTGTGCTGTTCTCTCAGCCATACACACCCATCAAATTACAGTGCCCCTGAGGACAAGAGAAAATTGAAGGTAGGGAGTAGCCTGGCTGAGGGGTCTTGCTCAGTAATCTTTGTGGTAAGGGGCCTCCATTTATATATAACTTCAGAGCTTGGGTTTTGCAAAGTCTTAAATACAGATGGGGAGGCAGACATGGCTGAGCTGGGAATGGGTTGCAGAGAGAATCCTGTTACGGCTTGCTCTTGAGGACAGACTTGCTCTTGAAGACAGATGGAGGTTTCCTGGCAGCTGTCGGGAGTCCTCAAGTGTTACATTAATGAAAATGGCCTGATATGATTATTCTTTTTTGTTTCTGTTTGTTTCTTTGTTTTTTTCATTTGATTTGATCATTCTTTGGAGGTATCTGATACCCTCATATGCCCAAGGGAGTTGGGGTTGGGCGATGCAGTTTTGTGAGGGTGACAGGGTGAATAAAAGAGGTTTGATATATTTATTTATTTATTATTGTTTTCTTAATTACCAATGTGGTAGCAGAGGATTCAGTTTGGATTGTTAATTTCTGGTGGCCGTAGGAATCTCACTTGAGACTGAAAGTTAAGCCTGCAAACCTAGGTTCAAATCATGACTCTGCTATTTTTTTTTTTTGAGACAGAGTTTCGCTCTTGTTACCCAGGCTGGAGTGCAACGGTGCGATCTCAACTCACCGCAACCTCCGCCTCCTGGGTTCAGGCAATTCTCCTGCCTCAGCCTCCTGAGTAGCTGGGATTACAGGCACACGCCACCATGCCCAGCTAATTTTTTGTATTTTTAGTAGAGACGGGGTTTCACCATGTTGACCAGGATGGTCTCGATCTCTTGACTTTGTGATCCACCCGCCTTGGCCTCCCAAAGTGCTGGGATTATAGGCGTGAGCCACCACGCCCGGCCATGACTCTGCTATTAACTTGCTTTAAGACCTTGGGCAAGTTTCTTTCCTGGATCTCAGCTTCACAGTGTGGTTGTAGGGATTAAATGAGACAAATTATGTAAAGCTCTTGGCATATCAAGTGTTCTCAACAAATGGGAGATGTTATTATAAATTGGCCTAGATTTAACCTGTCACTCCTGCTTGCCAAGATATATTCCAATTCTGTTCTGTAAAACATTTGTTCTGTATTCCTCCCAGCTTTGTATCGTTTAGGAACTTGAGGCAGGCGGGGCTTGGTGACTCACACCTGTAATCCCAACACTTTAAGAGGCTGAGGTGGGCAGATCACCCAAGGTCAGGATATTGAGACCAGCCAACATGGTAAAACCCCGCCTCTTCTAAAAATACAAAAATTAGCTGGGTATGGTGGTGTGTGCCTGTATTTCCTAGCTACTTGGGAGGCTGAGGCAGGAGAATCATTTGAACCTGGGAAGCAGAGGTTACAGTGAGCCGAGATCGTGCCATTGCCCTCCAGCCTGAGCAACAGAGTGAGACTCTCTCTCAAAAAAAAAAAAAAAAATTAGAGGCAAATTTGTGTTCCCTAGGGCAGGCTGAAGCTCCTCTCCCTGGAAAAATACATCAAAACCATATTATTATGTTTCCCAATGAGATGCTTAAGATGTCGGGTAGTTCGTATCTAGGTAACTTAGAAAAAATGGATTTTTCTATCGTTCTTGATGGATAGATTATGAGAAAGCCATTTTAATTGACGTTGGGTATAAATGTTCCCTGATATTACTCCCAAGAGAGGATCATTAAGGTTCCTATTTGCCTTTAGAGTAAACTCCTTTTCCAGTCTTTTTTCCTTTTTCTCTACTCTTCAAACCCTGTGGTCTAGCTGTGGTGGACTGCTTACGTAAAAATAATTAATGCAAAACATACAGTGCATATGAAAGAATGTTTTTAATGCATATTTACAATTTAAAGAAGAACATTAAATTGTGGCCAGATGCAGTGGCACATGTTTGCAATTCCAGCTATTCAGGTGGCTGAGGTTGGAGTATTGCTTGAGGCCAGGAGTTCAAGACCAGCCTGGGCAAAATAGTAAGACAATGTCTCAAAAAATGAAAGAAAATTGTGAATTTGCCATCCAATTTATCAAATGGAACATTATTGGTACCCTAGAAGCTGTTTGTCCACTCTCTGTCCTGAAATCATACCCTGTTTCCTCCTCACAGACATAATGATATCCTGACTTTCGTGTTCACCATTCTCTTTTCTGTGTAGTTTAACCACCTGTGTTTGTATTACTAAAACAAGTTTGTTTTTTTTTGAAAAAGCAAGCAGCAAGCACAAACCTAGCAAGCTTTTTAAGTTACTATTGTCACTTTTAGATCTAAACTCTGGCTCATAATGTGGCTTTAGATTTCCAGGGGGTTTAAAAGACTCTAATGGGGAAGTCAGTGGGCAAGGATGTCAGTGAATCCTAGGAAATAAGGATCACTACTATTGAGACATCTGGCAGGGTTGTGGTGTGGACAGACACTGGACATCTGGTAGGAATATGGTCACAGAGCGTGAATGGCTCTGTCTTTTCTACTTCCAGTCTCTCTTTGGCCTCCTTTCAACTCTCAAGGAGTAGGTCAAAGCAAAACTCTTCTGTAGCATAAAGTGAATGTCACAAACTGACCCAAACAAATAGTGTGGAGGAGATGAGCAGGTGCTTCATCAGCACGTGGTCAAGACAAATAGAGGCGGAAAAGAACCTGGACCAAGTTTACCTATGCATTTCTTGTCATGTTAAAAAGTGAATATGCAGCCTGGGTGCGGTAGCTCACGCCTGTAATCCCAGCACTTTGGGAGGCTGAGGTGGGCGGATCACGTGAGGTTAAGAGTTCAAAACCAGCTTGATCAACATGGAGAAACCCGTCTCTGCTAAAAATACAAAGTTAGCTGGGTGTGGTGGAATCCACCTCTAATCCCAGCTACTCAGGAGGCTGAGGCAGGAGAATCTCTTGCACCCAAGAAGCAGAGGTGGCAGTGAGCGGAGATCGCACCATTGCACTCTAGCCTGGGCAACAAGAGTGCAAGAGTGAAACTCTGTCTCAAAAAAAAAAAAAGAACACTTAGCACCACTTTTGGAATATTCTTACCCAAACATGGACTCCTAAAATCTCACCAAGCCTCTAGAGCGAACTTTCATATATTGGAAACATGGGGGAAAGCATGACAAGCTGAATTACACTCTAAAGAAACAAACAGAAAAATTTAGAATGTAGAACATTCTGTCAGACAACTGACTTGGCTTCTGTAACAAGTCAGTGACATGGAAAAAATAATAAAGTGACTTAAGAATTATAACCAGATGTCATATGTGAACCTTGTTTGGCTTAGGATAGTCTGTGTATTAGTTTGCTAGGGCTGTCATAACAAAATACCGCACACAGGGTGGCTTACACAACAGAAATTGGTATTTTCACAGCTCTGGAGGCTAGGAGTCCCAATTCAGGGTGCTGGCAGGATTGGTTCCCTCTGAGGCCTCTCTCCTTGGCTTACAGATGGCTGCCTCTTGCCACCTCATTGCTCTGTATTTGCACACTCCCAGTGTCCGGCTACATGTCCTAGACTCTTCTTTTTATAAGGACACCAGTTAGATTGGATTAGGGCCCACCCTAATGACCTCATTTTAACTTAATTACCTCTTTAACGGCTCTATCTCCAAATACATGAACAGTCACATTCTAAGGTACTAGGAATTAAGGCGTCAACATTTGAACTTGTTGGGGGAAACAATTTAGTTTAATTGCGGAAACTTTTTTTGTTTGGTCTCACTCTGTCGGCCAGACTGGAGTGCAATGGCATGATCTTGGCTCACTGCAACCTCTGCCTCCTCTCCTGCTTCAGCCTCCTGAGTAGCTGGGATTACAGGTGTGTGCTGCCACGCCCAGCTAATTTTTGTATTTTCAGTAGAGATGGGGTTTTATCATTTTGGCCAGGCTGGTCTTGAACTCCTGACCTCAGGTGATTTGTTCTCCTTGGCCTCTGAAAGTGCTGGGATTACAGGTGTGAGCCATTGAACCCAGTCAAAAACAGACTTTTTTTTTTTTTTTTTTTTTGAGACAGGGTTTTACTTTGTCACCCAGGCTGGAGTGCAGTGGTGTGAACACTGCTCACCACAGCCTTGACCTCCTGGGCTCAAGCGGTCAGCCCACTTCAGCCTCCCAAGAAGCTGAGACTACAAGCATATACCACAACACCCAACTAATTTTTTTATTTTTTGAAGAGACAAGGTCTCACCTTGTTGCCCAAGCTGGTCTTGAACTCTGGGCTCAAGTGATCCTCCTGCTTTGGCCTCCCAAAGTGCTGGGATTATGGGCACGAGCCACCATACCTGGCATTGAGAAGACATTAAATTTTTTTTTTTTAAGATAACTTTTGGGTTACTAATGGTTTTTGGTTACATAGGTAAATTGTACAGTGGTGACTCCTGAGATTGTAGTGCACCTGTCCACCAAACAGTGTACACTGTGCCCAATATGTAGTCTTTTATCCCTTACCCCCCTTGCCCACTCCTTCCCCAGATTCCAAATTTCATTATGCTACTCTGTATTGCTTTTGTGTCCTCATAGCTTAGTTCCCACTTAAGTGAGAAAATAAGGTATCTAGTTTCCTGTTCCTGAGTTACTTCACTTAGAATAGTGGCTTCCAGCTCAATCCAAGTTGCTGCAAAAGACATTCTTCTGTTCCTTTTTATGGCTGAATAGTATTCCATGGTGTATATATACCACGTTTTCTTTATCCACTCATTCGTTGATGGGCACTGAGGTTGGTTCCATATCTTTGTGATTGTGAATTGTGCTGCTGCAAGTATGCATGTGCTGTGTAAAAAGACATTTTTGAGATGTTGGGGGAAATTTTATGGACTGGGTATTGGATGATATCAAGGAATTGCTTTTTTTCAGGTGTGAGAATAGTAGTATAATGTGAGATGAATAATACAGAGATGACTTCTGAGGTATATAAGAATAAAATGGTATGATATAGAATTTATTTAAAAATATTTAAACAGCCTGGGTGCAGAGGCTCATACCTGTAATCCCATCACGTTGGGAGACTGAGGCAGGTGATTTACTTCATCCCAGAGGTTGAGTCTGCAGTGAGCTAT